CCTGCAAAGTGTGTCTCCAGTGTCTCTCCAAGATTTCACTATAGGAGGCTCGCTTTCTGCTTCCTACCTCTAGCCGCCATCTTGGAATTCCCCTTCCTTTTAATTTTTAGTTACAATAAGAGTACTGAGAGGTAACAAACAGAAAAATGATTTTAACCTATTTTTTCCTCAAAAGATTGGAACTGGGAGAAACAGAAAGAACAACCAAAAGAATACCAGCGGATCCTACAGTGCTTCTTAGATAGAAAAGACTGTTGCTATTCTATTCATCAAATGGGTAAGATCATAAGTTAATAGTTTAAAAGCAATTGTTTATACCTGTTTTTTTTCTCCCCCTGCCTTATATGGAGCTCCACTATGTTGTCCATCTGCTTATTTATGCAAAAAATTAGGAGTTTGTGGCTCACTGGAAGATATTTTGCTAACATGTTAATTTTTTCCACATAAAAACAGCACAAATGGGTGTAGGAGAAGGGAAGTCAATTGGCGAATGGTTTGGACCAAATACAGTTGCACAGGTGTTAAAGTAAGTAAGAGTCTGGCATCTGCCTATTCTACCATCTTCTATGCTTCCCTCCCCAGCCAACTAAACCTCTCATCAGCCTAAGTATTCTTGGAATCCCACTAAGCCACCCCTCCTACTAAGTCATCAAGTATCCTTGTCAGTTTGCTCAGACAGTTCTTTGAAATGTGACAGTGTAGCCCTCCATCTTGGTATATCAGAGTTGTATTCAGTGGTTATCAGTATATGTGGCTACCCCAGGACTCAATCAGCATTGGTTTGAGGGTCCTTTGAAGCTCACAGTTTCATTAAGTCATGGAGGCTTAGTCAGCCTAAGCAAGAAATGGACCCCCACCCTGCATAGTATAAAAATGACATTAATTCATTCAGCATTTATGGAGTACCTTTGCTGTGTTAAGTGTGAGGTATACAGAAATAACCTGGACACAGTCCTCATCTCAAGGAACTCACCATCTATTGGAAGAAACACAAGGGAGTCTTGGAATCAGTTTGTCATCTCTTAGCAGGTTCAAGGTACCAACATGGTACTTTTGCAGTTATCCTGTTAAATTCCACAGTTCATCTCCTACCACAAGAGGCGAGGTGGACAGGTCAGAACCAACTTTTTGGAACTGAATGGGGTGAGTGGCATCAGCACCTACACCTGAAGGCCACCTTACTGTTGTCATTCTCTCCTTCCTGATATCCTGCCACTGAATGGAAACTCCTTGGGGTCAGAGAGATTGTACTTATCTTTTTCACTCAGTATAAAATTGCCTGGCACACATAAGTGCTCCCTCAGTGCTCAATGAATAAATGAAATTGGCAGCCTGAATCTGGGGCTAGATTTAGGGATCAGAAGATTTAGATCATCAGTATGTGTACTTCAGTTCCTAGGTATTATGATGCAACTGCTCTATGTGAATCACAAAAAGGGCCTTGTTTCAATTGTTAGGCAATCTTTAATTAGCTAGCATGCTTTGGAAGTATGAATGTGTCTGGATTTCCTGGAGATCCAAGGAAAACTTATATCTTGACTTTACTTCTTGCTAACAGTGCAGCATGCTTGATACTACTTTCTTGCTTTAGTCAGAGGGACTTGTGGGCACTACTGGTGGCTGAATGAGGAGCTGATAAGTGTGTCAGGAACCACTGTAGCAATGAGTGAGGGCAGAAAGTGTGAAAGATCTGTGTTGAGCCTAGAACCTGACTTCAAGTAGTTTTTAAGTGACACCCCTCAGAATTTCCTTCTTTCTTTAAGATTTTGAGGTTCTCAACAATAAGTGAATGGAAGAACATTCTTTTAAGAATTTAAGTGGGCTCTAATTTATTATGAACGTTTGCTAACAATACTGATGCTCCTTGGGGTGACAACTTGAAAATATCGTAAATAGAAAAATGCATTTTAGTACACCTAACCTACTGAGTATCACAACTTAGCAACACAATCCACCGTAGAGAATGAGTAGTTTCTCCTTATGATCACATATCTGAGTGAGAGCCTTGGCTCACTGCCGCTGCCCAGCATCGCCAGGGAGTATCATATTGTTTGTGGCTAGCCCTGGAAAAGATCCAAATTCAAAACTGAAAGTATGGTTTCTACTGAATGAATATCACTTTTGCACAATTGGAAAGTCAATAGTCATGACAAACCACTGAGGGTCATCTGTATATTATTATCATATCATTACTATTATTATGAGAAAAGATAATATATTAAAATGAGTGAAATAAAAGTGTAATGATAATTAACTCTTCCAGGGAGCCACTTTGGTAGAGAATGCTTTTTCTTTTAGCCAGTGAGACTGGGTTTTATCCACAAATCCTGGAAGTAGCCACGTTAAACATGTTCTCTCCAAACAGCAAGGGAAGAAGGAGGTAAGGGAAAAATAGACAGGTGCTTTACTGCTTTACTTAGACCTCAGGTATTTGCTAATCCTCCCAGAAGTCAAGCCCTTTGGAATGCTGTTTCTCTTCAGTTACGGACTAGTAATGCCTCATACCCAGGTCATCTGTGACATTGTGTCCTTGAATGGCATTCTCAGTGCAGCTGGGAAGGAAACTGAGAGCTTCTCTCTCTCCTTCTCTCTCCCTCTCTTCTCCAGTCCTCTTCTTCTCTCTTTTTCCATCTCTCCCCTGCTCCCGCTCTCCCTCCCTCTGTTTTCCTGGGGCTCATTTCCTATATTATTTATGCTTCCAAACATACATACATATATACACACATTTATGAATATATTCACACATTATATTCATATATATGTGTGTATACATGTATATATAGTTTTAGGCCCTGGAATAGACCCCTGGCCTTCAGGTGTACTAGTTAAGCACTCTACCACTGAGCTATACCCCCAGCCTCCCCCAAAATATATTTTTGTTCTTTTGAGACAGAGTCTCACTTTGTAACCCAAGCTGGTCTGGAACTGGCTATGTAGCCCATGCTGACCTCAAACTCATGATCCCCCTGCCGCTACCTCCCAAGTACTGGAACTACAGGTGTGTGCCACCACACCTGGTTCCAAATGTTTCTTTTTAAAGAAAATTTTATTTTCCTTCTTTTTTTAAAAAAAGAAAGAAAAGCAGTAATTCAGAATATCTTTTGCTTAAGGAAATAAAATTTCTTAGAATTTGGGGAGCAGATGCATGGATAACTTTTGTTTTTCACCCAGAATACCCTCATTTTGTGAGGTAGAGTTTTCCATGTTGCAAAGCAGAGCCTTCTTTTTAAGGTTCAGATACAGTGACTCTGTGGCATTCTCAAAGTCCCTGGACATGGAATGTCCCAGACCTCTGTCAAAGAAGCCAAAGCTAACCTAACTATCAGCTTCTCTGTCAGCATTAGAAACAATGGGCACAAATTGTATTGCTTCCTGCTGATATTTCCATCTTCCCCAATTGTGACTTTATTATACATTGCTTTACAGAAAACTTGCTTTATTTGATGAATGGAATTCCTTGGCTGTTTATGTTTCTATGGATAACACAGTGGTCATTGAAGATATCAGTGAGTCCCCAGCCCTTTAACCTTCCCAGTTGGTGGGTGATGAGTTCCTTTCTTGCTATTCTGAAATCTGGGGCTCAGAAGAGTCTCTTGCCTGCTCCACCAGGGTCGGAGAGCCTAGAAGAGCAAGGCTTATGGTTCTCTTTCCTTCCAGCTTTCTAAAAGGGAGAAAACCATTAGAGGGTCTTAGCTGCCCCTCAAAGAGGTGCTGCTCCCTTTTCTTGCATGAGTCCCAAAGTGTATATACTCTGTTAAACCACCAGCATGGAGGCCCACTGTTGTCCAGGCCTGTGCTCCTTGCCATGAGGGTTAAGGAAACCTAAAGACACAGTTCCTGTCTCAAAGGCCCTTGTAGATAAGTTGAGAAGTGAGATTTTCACAGTGAACCCAGAATACCTCTTGGGAGCTAAGCAAGTGTTCAGTGACTGACATGAAGAGCATTGGGTTGAAAGAATGGCCTGGCCTTCCCGCAAGAAGAAGGGCCACTGGGCCCTGGTGGCAGAGGGGAGGACCTTCCAGGCAGGATGGGTAGTATATGAGGTCTCTCTTAGCTTTTCCTTTGGATAGGCCTAGTTATTCCTGACTTACCCTGCTCTCTTGCCTTCTGTTTCTAGAAAAAATGTGCTGTGTCCTTCCCTTGGGTGCTGACACAGCTGATGAGAACCCCCTTGATTCTCTGACTGCTTGTAACCAGAGTCAAGGCACCTCTGCCTTCTGTCCAGCCTGGAAACCCCTGCTGCTCATTGTGCCCCTTCGCCTGGGCATAAACCAAATCAATCCTGTGTATGTTGATGCATTCAAAGTAAGTTGCTCTTTTTCCCAAGCCCATTGTTGCCTACCCATCATACCGTCATGTCAGCACAGAGATCCGTGAGCAGCAGTCCACAAGTGAGTTGAGAATCTTGCGTTCTCTTTCCCTCCAGGAGTGTTTTAAGATGCCACAGTCTTTAGGGGCATTAGGAGGAAAACCAAATAACGCCTATTATTTCATAGGATTCTTAGGTAAGATGAAAGGGTGAATCACAAGTAAGTTATCATGGGCTAGGGGAGGGTGTGGGGCAAAGGTATGTGTGGGAGACCAGACAGCTCTAGTGAATAGGCCCCTGTCAAACCTGGGGATACCATGGCTTCTGGTCAGCTCTTTCTGTCCCCAGTCTAATCTACAAAGAGTAACACTCCCTTTTGTCTAATGGAAATCAAGTCTTCAATGCCTCTGCTTCTTTGCCTCCTTAATAAGATGATTTCGCTACTTCCCCACTGAATGGCCCAAGGTCATAGCATTGTTTCAGAACATCTCTCTCTTGCCTGTGGGGCCCCAGGGCAGTGGGACTGCAGTCTGTTGGCTTTGCTGATCTCCATCTTTTTGGGGTTCAGGCAACCAGGCTAGGAACATCCTCTGACTTCCCAGGCCCCCGTAGCTGGGCCTGATGGCTCACTGCTCAGAGCCATGACAGGGTAGAAATTAGAGGAAGCAAAGACAGACCTGTCCTCCTCGCAATAGTGGTGGCTAAGCCTTAAAACCACTAATCTTGTAATACGGACCCCAATGAGCAGTCCAACATTCTCTGCATAAGGCAGCGCTTCTGGAAATCTAGCCCCCTTACTATGACCAGACACATCGCGCACAGGTAAATTAGCTCAGTGCTTCCTGAACTTTTCTGTGCATATATCTCCTAGGCAGCCTATTTGAATGCAGACTCATTAGGTCTGTGTAGGGATGAGATTTGCTTTTCTAACTAGGTGGTGTCCATGCTGCTGGTCCATAGACCTCACTTGGAGAATCATGGGCCTGGTTCTCAAAGGAATCTGGTTAGTGCTGAAGAGTGTGAGCAATGAAGTGATGAGCCATGACCAATGGGAGATTTGGCATGGACGCCTCTTGTAGGAATGGAGTGGTGAAAGACTGCACCCCAAGAAAGTTAGGAGCTTCGGTAGGTTGACAGGCAATGAGAGCCAGAGCAAATTATAAAGGAACGACATAGGGGCCTGTCTATCCTCTGGAGATTTGGGGAGGTGAGGTGGGATGGCAGCAGGCATACCTGGCTTTAACATGTCAGTCTCCCTTTTCTAATGGTGTGACTGTAGGAAAAGGGTATCAACTCTTTCAGTCTCAGGTTCCTGTCATGTAAAGTAGGCTAACACCTGATTCACCATTAGGTCATCTCACAGTAAAGTGTTCAGCCAAGAGCCAGGCATATAGTACACACTCAGAAAAACATGGCTCTACCTCATGCCTCTCTTTCCTCTAGCTCTTGGGGTGTGGGGAGAAAGGGGGGGAGATGCCTCTTCTGCCATCTATTGGTTGAGCCTAAGAACTACAGCTTAATGGGAAGTCTGGCTTTTATTTTTCTAAGTACAATACCCAGTATTTGGAGTTAAGTACAAATAAGCAGAGATGCCCTCTGCTTCTAAGCTTTTGGTTCCTATTATAGAAAATGTTGCAAAAATTTACATTTGGCACTCTGTATCTGAGTTCCCCATGCATGGATTTGACCAACCATGGACTGAATATACTTGGAAAAAAATTGCATCTGTCCTGAACATGTACAGATTTTAGTCTTTTCATTATTACCACAACACCTATGTGAGGTAGAGTCTATCATTTCCACTTTATATATAGCAAAATGAAGATTAAGAGGTTTTTTTTTCCCTCAAGGTCACTCAGCCAGAAAGCAGTGAAACCAGGACTTGATCCCAATTTGGTCATCTCTGCCTACCACACTCCATTGCTTCTCTAGGCTCTCCTGCCCAATGGGAATCTGGAGAAGCTCTGGATGTGGGAGGCTGTGATCAGGGTGACATGGTGAGACTGGCTGCCAGCTTTTGCCTGCTTACAGAGAAAGAGCTGTTTATTCCCTATACTTGGGCACAGGTTGCCACCTGGAGATCCATAGTGTTAGCCCTGTCTTTACAGATGGTTGACCAGCCTGCCCCTTCTCTCTGGGGCTTGGTAGAGATCTTTGGTGAGTCTCCATATCATTTTAAGACTTTGTATATCCTTTGCTGTATTTCTTATAAGCAAGCACTCTCAAAAAAGAGGCATCCTGCAAAGCAAGCTCTTACACACACACACACACACACACACACACACACGGAAAAACATCATGACCTTTTTCCTAGCACCTTAACTCAAAACACTCTAGCAGATGGCTTGGTTTTACCCCTGCTTTGGCTGTTTTCTTGTCCATAACTCCTTTTTTTCTTGCCTTTCTATGGTCTTAGATAGGCTTCCTGCCAAACATCTTGTGTGTGATCTGAGGCATTTTTTTGGTTGTACAGGGGTTTGAAGTCAGGCCTTTGCACTGTTAGGCAGGTGCTCAACCACCACTTCAGCCATGTCCCCAGCCCTCTTTGTTTTTGTTATTTTGGGATAGTGTCTTGCATTTATGCCCTGGGCATCCTGGACCATGATTCTCCTATTTACATTTCCTGCATAGCTGGGATGACAGGTGCATACCACCACATCCAGCTTTTTATTGGTTGAGATGGGGGACCTCATGAGCTTTTTGCCTGGACTGGCCTCTAACTGTGATCCTCCTGATCTCTATTTCCTGAGTAACTAGGATTACAAGTGTGAACCACTGTGCTCAACCCCTAGTATTTACTAGGGGAACATGTTTTACCTTGACTTTCATAAAACAAGTCATATGGAGACACTGATTTCCATATCTCTTAACCATATATTTATAGGAGAATATCTTTGATTTGAAGATATTTCTATGACCACCTTGTTTGACATTGTGTTGTACACATTTCACAGAGATAGAAATTTCTGGTTCTTATTATACCCTGTAGGGTAGCTGAACAGGCCCAATGACCCCAGTTGAAAACAAGAACATTAATTCTTAGAGAGTGAATAAAGTGGTTTGTCTTTGGTTTATGTTATACAAGTGAAACTTTTCATCAGACATCACAAACACAATCTTTGTCAACAGACGCATATTGATGTGCCCTCCTGGATGCCATTCCAGGGAAGGGCTTCAGCACATTTTCTTCTGTCTCCTTGATCACCTGACAGTAGAGGACACAGAAACCCACACAGTCTCAACCATGAACAGTGACATCGAGTGCCCCTTTGGGTACGTTCACCTACTAAGCATTAGGTCAAATTAGAAATTTTATCACTCCAAATTCTACCCAGTTAATTTGGGCACTGGTATGTTCAATTTAATGAAGCATGGTTTGTCTCTTATGTGAAAAAGTCAGTCATCTTGGGTTGAGGGTGTAGCTCAGTGGTGGAGTACTTGCCTAGCACTCTAGGGTTCCAACCCCAGCAATGCAGAAAAAATTATCTTTCAGTTGACTTTCCCATCTGTGCTGATGTTAGACAAAGGCAGTGTTTTGTGACAGGAATTCACAAACTTGCTCACAATGACTAACCTACTCACTACTCAATACCAGGAGTCAGCTCACTAGTATTTCTTTTCTCACAGAGATAGCATTCCTGTTCTGTGTGTGTAGAATTTCTTTTGGAGACCAAGGCCTTTTCCCTTGCCAGAGGCACTCTCTGCTTATGGTTCTGAGAACCAGTGGTCTAGAGTCAGATGCTTTCCAACACTGAAAGAGGCAGAAAGCTCCCTGATGCCACTTTGGCTCACAGCCTGGTGACTCTATCACCTCTTTGCTACTGCTGCTCACAGAACCTGCCATGTCATCTGTGCTCTCTCATTCCCACGATTCTCCAAACCTGTTGCTTTCTATTTTGGATTTGCACTTTGAGGAGATATAAATGTTAGGACAAATCTTCTCTTTGAATGATTAGATTTGGATGTACATAGCTTTTTTTTCCAAGCATGCTCATCCTGGCTTCAGGCTTCTTGTCATCCCATTCTCATTGTCATCAGGGAAGGGGTTAGGAGAACCAGGGGGCCTCCTTCCCAGGATAGCAGTGGGACAGGGCCAGGGGGCTTCAAATGTTAAGCATGTCTAATCCAAAACAGGTGATGAGCTCATCTTCTTGGACCCTCACACAACCCAGACCTTCGTTGACACTGAAGAGAATGGAACGGTTGATGACCAGACTTTCCATTGTCTGCAGTCCCCACAGCGAATGAACATCCTGAACTTGGATCCTTCTGTGGCTTTGGTGGGTATCTGAAGATTGGGTGGGCCAGGAGACATGATGTCACCCTGTTACAGATTGGTTTCCTGGGACTTGTCCAGGTTGTTAGGTAGCATGGCAAGAGTATGTTTGCTTGCCACTCCTGTGGGATGTGGTGTGATGTCATGGGGAAGGAAGAGACTCTGGAGCCAAATTACTTGAGTTAGAATCCAGGCTCTGCCACTTACTAGTTATAGACTTAGGGAAAGTCAATCTTTCTGAGTCTCAGTCTTCTCATCTCTAGAAGAAAGCAATAATTCTTTCATTTGTAGGGCTGTATGAAGTACAGTTTGTGGAAGGCACTTATCACATGGGCCTGGCACATTGTAAACATACTATAAATGTTATTATTAGTAGTATCATCTTTTCTCCTTTTTTATCTTACCCTCAAGTTATTGCCACATGGAATAAGGTGGGCCATGACTAGTGACAGAGAAAGGGACAAGAATCCCCTCAGAGGACACTGCCCATTTCTTGATACATGCAATTCACAGGGCTTTTCCCCAAAAGTATGGTTGCTGTCAACATACATTGAAGGGGCATCTGCCTGTGAGGTAGCCAGTGGTTCTCAGGCCTGTCTACATCCTCTCATCCCATTTTATTCAACTGTCAGAGCACCAGTGATTGAGAACTGACAGAGCACTCCTCTTGTTTTAGACCATCATTTTACTACTGTAGGATGGCCCTGAGAATGACGAAGGAGACTGCTGGTTCTCTCTATTCTGATAGATAATTTCCTGAAGGTCAAAGTCACCATATCAAGTACTATGTTTAGCTAAAAGTACTAATAGTAACTAAAGTATGTCTAGCTACTATTTAGCTTTTGTTTGCTGGTTTAATTGAATATTCTTTATAGATTTGTATACCTGTCTACTGAATGTGAAGAAATTAACGCCATGCTTTGGAGACTGATTTTCAACTTTAAGTATCCCACAGAATGAGGGGGAGAGGGACACAGAGGGATAGGGAGAGAGAGCAAAAGTTGAGAGACAGAGAGAGAATGAGAGAGAGTGAGTGAATGCCAGTGTGTGTGTCCAAGTGAGGCAATGAGCTAGGGGAAAGAGAAGCCTAGTCTTTTTCTACTGCTGGGAAGACACATCCAAAGAGAGTGGATCACCTCCTAATTCTGGGCCATAAGCTCCATTTTGCCATACAGAGGGCAATTCTAAGTTGTGATCTTTTGCTTCTCCCCCAAGGGATTTTTCTGCAAAGAAGAAAAAGACTTTGATAACTGGTGTAGCCTTGTTCAGAAGGTAAAGATGTGTGTTTTTCTTAGCCTTAAAAATGAAAGCTCCTTACTGTGATTTCTTTTTAGGATTGTTTTATATTATGACATAAACCTAGTCTGGTATGATTTGATTGCAAGAGAAACTAAGGCAAGTAAAGAACCTATCAGATATGAAAAATCATGCGTACCTTTAAGGAAACTGAAGAAAAACTCTTGCTTTAAGCATGCTTTGTATGTTAGGTGGGTGATAGTCTTAGTGGTAAAACTTAATGTTTCATCTCATTAAGCCTATGACATGTATGAAGTATTCCATTAATATTCTACCATTTTAATGTAAAAATGCAAATTTCGTACTGCTCATTCTTAAATTCTTCCTTACTCTGTTCATAACACTGAGATGATTAAAGAAATTAAAATACTTTCCTATGTGTTTAGTGGTTCATTTGTGGCTTAATACATTCCATCATGGCTTAGAGGACTTTCCCTTCTATTAACTGCCATTATGTAAAATATAGACTTGTAACAACATAAGGAATCATAACTTTCAGAAATGTATGTAAAATTGTTTCTTTTTGGTGTCTTGTATAAAAGGGAATCATTTCATTGGCTCACTAATCTTTGTATCTGTCTGTATTCATCATCAGCCCTCAACAGGTGCTGAATAGATAGGAGATATTGATAAAATGCCTAGTAAAAGAATGAAAGGAGATCAAAGGGAGTAGTTTACAGAACCCTGGGTGGGGTGGCAGGAGACATTTGTCTCCTGTCACCAAAATTGGAGGATTGGAAAGATGGAAGCCCGGAGCCTTGCAAGCAAAAGGGAGGAAAATTTTTCTTCACAAGCAAATGAATAATTAACACTAATGTCCCTAATTGAATCTGAAACCCCAGGTAATAATTTGCTGAGCCATAATAGAGAATTATTTTTACTTACATTTCAGAGTGTAGCAAAACTGTGTAGATATTTTAAGACAAAATGACAATTTTATGACTATGCTTTTTAAATTGGGATACATATATATATATATATATATATATATATATATAGCCTCTTCAATATATATATTGAGTGTTGAACTACAATTGAAACCATGCCAATGACATTTCTTTGGAACTGACATTTCAAAAGCACCTTACTCACTCTTAAATTGAGCTGGATCTGTGCAACTGGCACAGTATCTAAGCCTTATGATAGAGTATGGGCAATGGATAATGGGATCCATCAACTATTCCCTCCCAAGTCCTTTCTGCATTGCCACAGGGTCCAGAATTGAAGCCGGATGAGGCCTTCAGAGGGTTCAAGTAGAAGATGCGTGTATTTGCTAGATCCTTTCTCTACCTGTCAACCACCAGGCAGCTCTCAGGGTTTGGGGTCATAGATTGTCAACTGGCAGAATTGTAATGACTCTGCAAGTATTTGTAACTGTTTCTGTGTCTTCCCAGGAAATCCTAAAGGAGAATTTAAGGATGTTTGAATTAGTTCAGAAACATCCATCACACTGGCCTCCCTTTGTACCTCCAGCTAAGCCAGAAGTGACAACCACGGGGGCAGGTAAGCTGATGTTCAGGGACTCTTGGCCAACACACTCACAGGTAGCAATTGTTTTCTGAGATTGAAGCAACTTTGGTTCATGATTTCTGTGGAAAACAAAATTTCTACTTGACTGGACTGATTAAGGAATGGTGTTTCTGATTATTTGAATCTTCTGATGAGCTGATATCTGCCAATTTCAAAGATTGATAAAAGAAGAACATTAGCTCAGTGCAGAAGTTCTATGCAAAATTGAGATGACTCGAGTTGTTTTTTCATGTTATAGTTCAGAATAATAAATCAGAGGCCACGAGTTATTCAAAAGGCACCTTGTAGGCCAGACGTGGTGGTACCAGCATTTGGGAGGCTGAGGCAGGAGGATCATGAGTTTCTAGGCCAGCCTGGGCTACATACTGAGTTTTTGAGGGCAGTTTGGGCTACCTAGCAAGACCTTGTCTCAAAAACAAACAAACAAACAAAGAAACCAGCCAAACAAATGAGGTGACTTTAAGGGCATACAGATCCTCAGCAAGGCCATTGTGATTGGTCTATGTAACAGGTCTGGCTATTTTGAGTCCTTATAGAGAATTTCTAATACTTTCCAAGCCCTTTTGTCCAGAAAGGCCTTTCTTTAGCAAAGTGATTAAAGCATGCATATTATGACTGAGAAATGTATTGACTGGGCATATCAATCTAAGCGTCAAGCTTTTCTTCTTTCTTGTTTCTGTATTCTAATAGAATTCATTGAGTCTACTGAACAACTGGAGGACTTTGACCTGGAAGAAGATTTTGAGATTCTGAGTGTGTAGAATAGTGGGAACTCAGTTTGGAGGTCTGTCTTCCATCTGGCACCACAAGAACATGAACTTGTTACATAAAACTTTTCTAGTCAGCAAGTGCCTGATATGCCAACAGCATACAAATTCAATAGCAATCATGACTGAGCCAATTATCATTTCTCAGAAAAAAATGACACCAACCCTTCCCCGGGAAGAAATAGAACAATCATGGAGTCTAGGAGCAAAAAGTTTAGGAGTTCGTTGCTTCCCAGCTTGCCTTACATGGCTACAGCAAGTCTTCAGCTGCTGAGATAAGGACATTTGGAAGACAGACAGCAGCTCCCATCTCGCTTCAAGCACCAGCAGATGAGAGATGGTTACGCTGTTCTTCTTCACACTTTCAGGTGTGACCTCTTTGGAGCTAAATACTAAGAAGCAACCTGTTCTCTTGCTCAAATAATAAACTTACTGAATCAGGGAGAAAAGTTCTTGTTAAATTATTTGAATATATATTTTAAATAATTATGCTTTATATCAAAATATTTGTCAAAAATTATTTTAAATATACACTTCTTGATTGTGTTCCTATTTGGAGGAAGCTTACTATTATTTGATGATAGTCTTCATCCTTACTAATACTTTTGTCAGATGTCATCATGTCCTGAAATCAAATCATCATTTAAATCAGAGGTCAGAAAACTTTTTCTGTAAAGGGCCAGATAGTTAATATTTTAGACTTTTCAGGTCATGTGTCCTCTCTCACAACTATTCAACTCTGTGCAAAGGCAGTCATAGACAATTTGCATGTGACTGAGCATGGCTGTAATCCAATAAAACTTTATTTACAAAAACAAATGGAGGGCTGGAATTGGCCTTGCCAATCTCTAAGATTGTTGACTCTTGTTTCAGGAATTAAAAATAAATTGTGTTTGAATTATACTCAGTTTTGGTTGACAGCCATATTTAGAAAGAATTATTCATGTGGTGACATTTAACCTGTGTGTTAAATACAACTTCAAGCCATTTTAGAACTTGTAACTCACTAAGTTTAAAGCACATATTCATCAGATTAGCTTTGCTAACTAACCACTTGCCTGTGAGGATGCTCCAGTCCAAGTTTTCTTTTCTTATTCTCTTAGCTATCTGCATTTCACACGGGTCTCCATTTAACCCCATCTTTAACAGACTCACCAGTATCTGCAGTTTGTAAAGTAGCACCAATCAAGTTAACCCGTTTTCTTAGGTTCCACATTTTTCTTTATTTTCCAGTAGGTAATATATTCCAGAGGTTCAAAATTTGAAAGATACAAAATGGTATTCAGTGAAAAGTGTTTCCCTCCCAAAAGTCAGCTCCCTTCTCTGAAAACTTCTAATGTTATTAATTTCTTTTTTATCCCTTCAGAGGATCTATGCATTTATAAATATATATGCATATTAAGTAAACACATAAATATAAAATGTATGCACACACATATAGCTTAGATTTTATTTTAATGACTTTAATACTTGTGTACTTTTAATTGTAAATGATCCTGAGGCCACAGAAATATGGAAACTCCTTTCTTGCAGTCAAGCAGGTGTTGGAGATAAAAGCAGTTGTAGGCTTGTCTTGAAGCACTTTGTGGGTTTGTTGACCACTAGAGTGCTCTTTCTGTCCTTTGACTTTGATCATTTTCTAATTTGTTCTTGTCTTAATGCTTTGTTATAGAGTTTAGTGAGAATGGGTATTAGAAAAGTTTTTTATCAAAAAACGTCAATTAGTTCGAATGTTCAGATCTCATTTATTTTATTTGCTGTTTACAAAACTTATTACTTAGCTCAGAGGTGACAGTGACAGTAATTCAGATTATACTGATTATGCTTTGTCTGTGTTGGCACAGTTTACATAACACTTAAGGAAACAGAATCACCTGAAAGGAAGTGCCTCATGTCAACACTGGGAAACTGGTAATAAATTCAAATTTCCCTGAACAGAATACAATACATTCCATAGCTAGCTCCAGCTATGCTTTAGGTCTGCTAACTGCTAACAGAGGTGTGTGCTAGGTTTGAAGAAACCTACTAAAATAGTTTAAAGGGCTACCTGTGAAAGAACAGTTGGATGACTGCTCTAATGGCCTCAGAATGCAAAGAAACTTCAATTTGCCACATTGCACACATCTGGGTGGCATTTGGAATGAACGGGGACTTATGAGAAATGGGGACATGGGATTTACCTTTTTGTTCCTGGAGTCAAAAGCAAAATTCACACCTCCTTCACCATTCAATCCTCTACCTCTGGCTAAGGAAAAAGGGCTGTGGATCTCATTTCCTGGATAGGCTTGGCCATATCCATTGCATCTTCTACTCTACTTGGATCAGGCCAGGTCCTCTGTCTCTGGCCAGGGAGAGAGCTGGTCAGGAGGAAGTGATTTGTCTGGGACCATATGAAGTTAATTGGGGCCCTCTCAGCTTCTGGCCCTCAAGCTTCCCTAAGCAATGTGTGGCACAGTCTTGCTCAATTTGGAATTAGTCGAAGTTCAACCAGGGCTAGAGGCTGGCACTTCATTCTAATCCTGCTGTCTACCCAGACACAGATGGCTGCTTTGAGTGGTGAGGGCTGGCTTTTAGCCTTGCACCTTCCATTACTGTCCAGTCAGACATTTGTTTTCAAACTGTAGAGACATTGGGTTCTGGTCTAAGACAAATAATGTGTACATAAATTGGTCCTCTGGACACAAAGCAATGACTTATTAACTATTATGAAGAGCTTTCTGATTGAGGCAGTGAGGTGAGCCAACAGAAAGTGGTGGCCCAGCAAATCTTTCTGCAGTAGCCACAAATAGTCATGCAAACATCCAAATGGAATGGTAGCACCAGGCTGATGGAAACGGGACAGCAGATCCCAGCAGGATGGTCTCATCAATTGGGTCTGAAGGTTGGGGTGACCAGTGTCCAGTTGTTCCATCAAAATGAGGCTCTGATGTTCTTGAGAGATAGGCAAAAGGGCTCAGGCCTTTCTTCCTCATGTTGTTCAGACTTGTGAGGTGACCAATGTGAAGGGGAAGGGTGGGCAGGGGGCAGCATAGCGGGTGTCACCCTACAGGCTTTTCATACACACCTGGCAGCGGCTTACCCGGGTGTGCAGCTGCCCAGCTTTCAGCGTCTCAGACACGGGCTCCTCCCTAAACTGCTGTCTCTCTTCTACTGTCGTCAGCCAGAAACTGTACTTGTTGGCAAAATAGTGGCAGGTGCCTTGGGCGCCATTGCACTCGATGAAAGGAGTGGCCCGGAAGTCCTCAAGGCAAGAGCCAGGGGAGACCAGGGACTGGCCTCCTCCCTCGGCCCCAGCAGCAGTGTGCTGAAATGACAGGAGGCTGGTGTGGGAGCTGCACCCACTGGGGCCTGGTGGGGGGCGGGGTGCATTGGGCATTCTGCAGCTATAGGAGGGCACATGCACTGTGTACCTAAGGGCCACCCGGCTTCTAGCCAGATGTCAAATCTGGCTTAAGGGGCAGGCACTGCCCATTCTGTCTTGTAGTAGCCCCTTCTTGGTCCTTTCATGGCCTTCTTACCATGCTGTGTGTGTGGTCAGTGACCATATTTCAATCAGTGTTTTCCAAACTGCTGAGTTTGCAGATTTGTTACTATGGACAAATCTGAGCAAGGCTGCATTAAGAAAAACTCACTAGGGGCTTGGCGTGGAGGCATATGCCTGTAAGCAATCCCAGCTACTTTAGAGGCAGAGATAGGAGGATCATATATTTGAGGTCAGCCTGGGCAAAAAAGTTAGTGAGATCCCATCTCAGAAACAAAATACAAACAAAAAGGCTGGGAGTGTGGTTCAGGAGGTGTTGTGCTTGCCTAGCATGTGAGGCCCTGAGTTCAATTTTATACAAAGGTAAACTCACTAGGTTTCTAAATTTCAGCTTTCTGAGCCCTTTGCCACAGTGCCCAGTCCTCTAAGAAGGGAGAGAGAGTGCAAAATTCTACACACTGGTTCCGCCCTGGCCCCTTCACCAGCAGCATGTCTGTCAATAGCTCTCACTTTGGAGCTACATCCGTTACAACTACTTTTATTTCCTATCTCTGCCACAGCCTTTCGGGCTACATACAGTGTTTGTTACCTGCTGAGTATAAGAAAGCCTCCTTGCATTTGGCCTAAATGCCTCAGGCCTCACTTCGGGGAGCATTCAGTTTCAAGGACACTCATAAGCCAACAGTCTCAGTCACTGTACTCACTGAAAGCAGCCCCCACCTCTCCAGACCCAGGTCCTCTCCCTTCACTTTAGCTGGGTTTTCATCTGGACCCTGGGGTGAGGGAGGCTACATACACACCTGTGACAGCAAGTGACCAAGTTGAACCCCTATTTTGCAGCCCTCCAAGAGAATGAGGGTCTCCAAATGATCTTTCAAGAGACTCTTCCTGGTAACTGAAGCATCAAGGCTTTGACCCTCGGAATAGAAAACTTTCTAAAGCATGCAACATATCTCCCTGCTTTACTGAACAGCAGACCCTGCGTATTTTGATCTTGGTAGGGTGAATGTCAGTTTTCATGTGGAGCAATTATACAAGGGCCCCATACCTAGGGGTGCAGCTGGTCAAATTCTTGGGCCTCTAAGAATTTAATTATGTTCTCTCTCTTCTCTCTTTTTCAGTTGGCATGCTCATTGCTTCAAGATGCCTTATAATGCAGTCAAAATTCTCAGCCTCACTCATTTTCAGGAAAAATATCCTCAGATGTCAGAATTAGGTGTAAAATAAGAGTAAAGAGGTCTGAATAGGGCTAAGAGGTCTCCCATGAGCAATGCACAGGAGACTTAGTACATAACCTTTGTGACTTTGGGCCTTTTCTCCTTATTTCCTGGTCTGGGTGGTGGACAGAATAGATGACAGATGAGGTGATCTACGTTGGGATAAACTGGCCAATGTGCAAAGACAGAGCACAGTGAGGAAACAACATGCCCCAGAAGGTGCACTAATGTGAAGGGAGCCTGTGGCTTGGTAATTTTTCAGACCCTCTTACCCCTGGAGATTCACAGAGAAGCTCTGGCAAGACAGGGTACTTCAGTAGGTGCCACATTGGTTTTCCTTGGGAGTTGTCCTGTCTCGAAACCTGACTTCACTGGATGAAACATCCCCAGGTTTTCACGGAATACCATATAAGTGACACAATGCCTCCTTGGGCTTACAAATGTTCTTTCTTTCTTTCTCAGGCACAGCATGGCCAGCCACTGCCTTCCCACAAAAAAACCAGAGGCAGAAAAATGCCAGCAAGGACATAGAAACACGGTGTCTTCTTGCGAGCCTTTTGGGAGGAGACAGCAGTGGCCAGAGTGTTCAGGGAGGGTGTGTGGGAGAGCAGAGAGTGCCACGCTTAGCCTGACTAGTGCAAGTATGTCCTGGCCCTGAGTGTCCCTCACTGTTTCCTCGGTTCATAGTGTGTTTCATCCTTCTCTGGGTGGTGGCATTACTGAAGCAGGCATAGAGATGGTAGGACTTTTGCCCGTGATTCATATGTTTTCTCACCTAGAAATTGTGGGTACCAACTGCTGCCCCACATCCAGAACTGCTTATCATTCATGTTTTTTTTTTTCTTTTTGGCTACACTGAGGTTTGAACTCAGGATCTCAGGCTTGCTAAGCAGGTGTTCTACTACTTGAGTGCTTTATGTTTTAGTTATTTTTCAGATAGGGCCTCATGTTTTTGCCTGGGGCCAATCCTTGAACTCAGATCGTCCTGCTCCACTGTAGCTGGGATGACAGACACTACCATCATGCTAAGCTTGTTCTTTGAGATAGGCTCTCACTAACTTTTTTCCTGGGATGGCTGGTCTTAAGCCCAAATCCTCCTATCTCTGTCTCCCAAGTGGCTGGGATTACAGATGTGAGCCACCATGCCTGGCCCCTGTCATTCATGTCTTTAGCAAAGCCCAGGCTTCCTTTCAAACTCTGCTTTCTACCCAGTGTCTCGGAGCCTGGGAACCAGTCTGAGGAGCACAGCTCCCCATCCTTGCTTCTCCCATAGGGGGTGGGAAGTGCAGGGGCTTACCATGAGGAAGGAGTACCCGATCCAGAGACTGCGCCAGCCCAGAGGGCACTGTGGGATGGTGATGTCCTGGCTATGCACAGCAATGGCTTGCGAGGGTGCCTCGCACACTGTGCAGCGGCTGATGTACGGGGGAATCTGGGTCTGGCCAACAGGCATCATGGGAATGGGGGCGGTAGTGGAGAGCCAGTAGGATTTATCATTGCGCCTAGCATAGTGGCATACTTCGTTGATGTTGCAGCAGATGAAAGGCATGGTGGTGAAGCGGGGCAGGCAGGAGCCAGCAAATCCTAGGAGAAGAAGGTGGGCAAGGACAGGTAAGGTCTGGCTGAGGGTCACCAGGACTGGACTAGCTGGCGGTTTGGGTTTACATTCAAGGCTTCACCAGACCAGGGCAGTTCTTTCCTTGCAGTCTGTGACACCATTCATACGCTGACGTCGGTAGATCAAATCCTATCGTAAATGCACCAGGGAGTTTGATAATGGTGAGAATCTTTTTATAAACTGAAAAATAACTCCCTAATTAATCTGCTTTGTGAAAGCAGCATTTAATAGATCAAGTCCGGAAGAGTTAGCAAGCCTGCAGGTAATGCAATTAATTGAGTAATCATTGCCCCTCAGGTCAGGTTACTATTGTTACTAATACTTAGTGGAGGCGTAAATGCCAAACACTGTGGCAATGAGTCATTACACTGTCCTGTGTATCAGGCACTAGAATTAGCCTTGTCCCAGTAAGGAGGAAGTGGAAGCTCAGAGAAGTTGAATACCTTGAGGATCTCACTGGATCGTCATGTGAACCTGCAAGGTTGTCAGGGAACATGGCTAGGAGTGGTGCAGTCAGCATCTGAACACAGATCTGCTTGACTCCAGAGCTGGAGGTCGTAACCCAGTACACAACATTGGGCCCAAAGGGCTGGGAGAAGAGAGGAGGTGAGCTGTTGGTCCTTCTGGGGACAGGTGCCCAGAACAAGTACTTACCCAGATCCTGGTTGTGGGCTTTCTCCTGCCCTTCTATGAACAGCAAGCTGTAACCCACCCACAGCTGGCTCATCCCGATGGGGCACAAGGGCACCTGTTCCGACTGGCTGTGCTTCACCAAAGTGTAGCCCACTCTCATGCTTTGCCCAGGCATCCCGGGCCTCCCGAAAGGGCCCTGCTGCCCTGGAGCTCCTGAGCAGGAGAGAGCAGAAACGACAAGTGTGGTGCAGGCTATGGTAACACTGACTACTCACTTGGCACTACAAATTGTGAAACACATGTTGTGTACATGCATTATCCACTGTAGATGAGGAGACTGAGGCTCAGAGCTCCCACAATGAGTAAGTGGCAGAGCTAGAACTCCAACTCACATGTTCCTGGCCACAGAATTTCCCTTTGAAAAAGTACATTATCCACCTTCCCTCTTCTAGCCACCTGGCCTTGGACTCTAAGTGGGGATGAGGGGTGAAGAGCAATCCTTCTTGGGACCAGCCTTGGAGATCCTTGTAGGGCACCACTAAGTAGCCACTGGTCGAGGTATCAAAAACAGACTTAGGATTAGCAGGTCAAAGTCTTGCCCTGCTCTCCTGCCCATGGCAGACGTGGTTAATGGATTACAACATGTTCCCATCAGGCCTCAGAAGTGTTCTCTACTAAGGCTAAGTGATTTGCTATTGTGGTTTGAAATGGAAGGTAAGCAGCAGAGGTATGGGCAGACATACCTCATCTCAAATGTTATCCCTTGAGCCACTCCTCCCATCCATGTCAGAATCCCTGGGTCGCAAAGGGGAGGGGCAGGGCAGGTGGCCATTCTGTACTATAGCATTTAAGAGCTGGAAGAGCTGGAAGAGAGGCTGGGTGTGCTAGTGCCAGCTTGTAATCCCAGCTACTGGAAGAGGCAGATGGATCATGAGTTCCTGGGCAAACGTAGTGAAAGCTTGTCTCAAAATACAGAATAAAAACCAAAAGGCTTTAGATGTAGCTCAAGTGATAGAGTGCTTGTCTAGTAAGTGTGAGGCCCTGGGTTCAACACCCAGTATTGAAAAAAAAAAAAAAGAGCTGGAAAGGAACCCAGAAAAGGATTTGGAGCAGTCATGTGCCTTTGCAGTCTGCAGAGCAGTAGGGATTGAAAGGACAAGAGCCCAGTGTTTGAAACTCCTGCTTGGTGTGGCAAGCTCTACCACCAGCTTGACTAAGTCACACAGTTGAGTTTCTGACCATCCCCAAGTCTCAAACCTTTGCAAAAGCCCTCTGATCCCTAGGTTGACATCACCAGACCTTCAAATCCTGGAGGGCCTTGCAGTCCAGGAAGACCAGGATCACCGAGTGCCCCAGGTGGGCCAGGAAGCCCGCTGGGGCCATCCTTGCCAGGGATGCCAGGTAAACCTTTGGAACCTGCAGGAAACAAAGCCCAGGGAAGGTACTCAATGTGGAGGGTCCAGAGGCACCCTTCTCCAGGAAAGTGGACTGTGACATGCCTGAGACTCACCAGGAGAGGGCGCACTAACTGCTGCCTTGTGCACCGGGCAATGAGCTGAGGCTGGCTTGGCTAGTTCTTACACCAGGACATCTCCGCACAGGCAAGGTGCTCTCCACTTAGCCTTTCTTAGTTCCTTGCCCCCTTCCCTCCTTCCTTCCTTCCTTCCTTCTTTACTTCCTTCCTTCCTTCCTTCCTTCCTTCCTTTCTTCCTCCCCCCTTCTCATCCCTCTGGCAATGCTGGGAAGCATGCAGGGCCCCTGTCAGCACCCCGCACCAAAAATGAGGACACAGAGTCCCAGAGAGACTGCTGGCTTACTCTAGTTGGGGCAAAGCTAAGATTTAGAAGCCAGCTTTCCTGTACCCCAGTCCTGGGATTTCTCTATGGCCCTGTGCTGCCCTTTAGCCACCACCACACACCCTCCTTTTCTCTGCAGCACTTTAGAGAGGGACACGCTGTCTGGAGAGCAGCAATGTTCTCTCACAAAGCCAAGTACAACCACTGTCCCAATGGCCCTTTTGGCCTTGTCCTGGCCTGGCAAGAAGCCTGGGGGCCTTGCAAAGGAGCAGAGGAAACAATGAAGGCACCCCCTTGGAACTGGGGTTCCAAGTCAGTTGCTTGACTTGGCTGAAGCCTTAGCCAAAGCCACTCAGCTTCTTAAGAAGTTCCCTTTCTCTGGGGCCACCCTTACCTTGGAGACCGACAGGGCCTTGGACTCCAGGGTCCCCTGTGAGGCCAGGGATGCCATCAATGCCTGGCAGACCCAGGGGTCCAGGAGGAACCTGGACAGCTTCTGCAGTTAGTGTTTTTCCAGGAGAACCTTGGGGGCCGGGAAAGCCTGTGGGTAGATGGGAAATGGCATAGTCAGGAAGAGGCAGAGAGGGCAGGTGGCCTTCCTTTCTGCTTGGCAATCACCTGCTTTCTGCCTTTTATGTTTATGCTCCTAGTCCCCACTGGCTGCCTCTAGGATGGTTCTCACCACCCTTTACACAGTGCCCTGTTTCCTCATCAGCTTGGGGGCAAGAAGCCGGTCCTATTCATCTTGGTTTCTCGGGGCCCAGCACAGAGCCTGGTAGGTGGTGGGCAGTTGGGAACTGTTGCAAATATAATGGTCTGAGTGTTGGCTCCAGGATAGTGCAGTTGGTTCACTTGCATGCTGGTCAAAGCACAGTGACAAGGAGGCTGAGGGGATGTCTCTCACCCCAGAGGCTGTTGGCATCAATGCCCAAAAGCCCAACCCCAGCCATCTACCTTTCTAACAGAACTTGCTCAACTAATTCATTGAACGGGTATTTCTTGACTGCTTAGAATGTGGCAGGGTCCTAGGAAATCTGGGAATAGAGCAGTGATGAGATAACCTTTATGGAGATTATTGTCTAATGAGCAATGCATAACCTGACAAGTACCATTAATCTTTATGCAAGCTTCATGCTATGAAGGAAATGAATAATGCAGTGACAGTGAAGGAGCACAGGGTGATATGGGGTGGAGGAACCTGCTTTAGAGAGCAACCCATGGCCTTTCATTAGCAGTGACAATGAAGCTGAAACCATTCAAACATCAGAAGGAGCTAGCCATTTGAAGAGCAGAATGGCAAAAGCATTTCAGGAATTAGAGCTAGCATGTGCAAAGAGCCTGTGGGAGGCCAGGGCTTGTGTTTGGATAACTGAGAGGCCAGTATGGAAGGAACACTGTGAGCAGTAAAGGGGAAGAGCATCACATAAGGCTTAGTGGGCCATAGTTCATCTCTATGCCATGCATAGCCACTGGATGATTTTTATTTTTATTGACCACTTTGTGGGAAAATGATTGAGGGTGGGGGAGGGAGAGTGTTGCAGGAGAAATGTTGCTGGCTTGGACCTTGAGGAAGCAGTGGAGGTGATGTGCAGTGAGCAGATGCACTTGCTAATGGATGGGATGCCTAAGAGTGGGGGCTGGGCTGGTGAAGGATGGAGAGGCAGGCTCTTCATTTCTGGACTGAGCAAATGAGTGGGTGGTGATCCGAGTGCAAACCCAGTACACACCAACTACAGAAATAATGCCTAGAACTCAGTAACAGGATCCATGGCAGCAAAGCAGCAGGGGCCTTCAGTCCTAAGAGCTGCTGGGGCAGAGGTGTCTCCAAGGTGGGCAAATCACCTCCCAGAGTATGGGACTCCATCTAGCTGCCTTCTTGGCATGGTGTGCAGTGACTGCTGAGGGAGCCCTACCCCCAAACCTTACCCCTCTGAGCTCAGGCTCAGTCCAACATATTCTCTCAACTCACCTCTCGGTCCTGCCTTCCCCTTCATCCCGGGAAATCCTGGGTCTCCCTGTGGCCCAACCTTGCCTGGAGTCCCCATGAAGCCAGGTTCACCTTTTGTGCCTGGCAAAGTCCAAAGGAAAGTAAGTCAGGCCTCGGCCCACTGGTGGTGACTGAAGACTAGCGGGAAGAGCGCTGTCAGCTGGCCTCTCTCCTAGGTTTCAGGACTCTGCAGCGGGGAAGGGTTCAGCAGCCACTGGAGCAGCCTTACCTTTCAGTCCGAGATCTCCAGGGAGGCCAGAGAAACCTGGAATTCCTTGGTCTCCCTTAGGCCCTTGAAGGCCAGGAATTCCAGGGATGCCAGGGTCGCCAGTGTCTCCTTGATCTGAGGATGGCCCAGGAGGACCTGGGGGCCCTTGGAGGCCTGGACGGCCTGGGGATGCGAACAGAAGAGGGATGAGGGGCAGATGAACAGGAATTAGCTGCTGCTGACGGCCTAGGGACTGATAGGAAGTCAAAGTCCATTCCCAGGACAAAGAATGTTCTTTACCATCTGTGGAGTCTCAAGTGCCCAGACCTTCCCAGACCCTTACAGCAAAATGCAGCCTGTTCCAGTCCCCCATGTTCTGGCTGAGGGGAGGAATATGAGGTCAAACAGGCTCACACATGTCAAGCAATAGGAACTGAGGGTGCACTGTATACGGCACCTTCCCAAACACCAGATAAAATCGGGAGGCCAGTCATTTTTAGGGCTTCTTGTTTTTACCTCGTTCTCCATCTAGGCCTGGCTGTCCGGGCTCACCAGGTTGTCCTGCTATGACTGAGGGCAAGGAGATGCCTGGGGCTCCAGGGGAACCAGCAGCGCCTTGGAGACCTGGGAATCCTGCAAAGAATAAATCAAAGGGGCTGGATGAGGCTTCGTGTGCCCAGGAGAGGGCCAGGTGCACTCAGAAAATGGATGTGCACACCAGAGAAAATGGAAGTATTTAGGTAGCAGCCAGACCAAAGACCGCCAGCAGAGGGCTCTACTTCCGTCATCCTACCTTCCCAGCAAGCAAACAAAAATATCCTAGAAGGGCTCAGATTCTCCCTTTCCAGCTGGAGCTTCATTTTCTTGAGACAGAGCTATGGAAAGTTCTAGCTCTCCAATTTCACTGGTAATGGAAATATTTTAGGCACTGGCAATTAGGAAATATTGAAGGCATGACTGAGCAGCTGGAATTTAAGTTTCCCAAGCGTTTTTAAAGCTACTCCCCCAGCCAAACAGCCTTTTTTAAGTTAGGCAGTTATATCTGATGCTGCACAAAGGTTATGAATACAGGTAGGTCCCAGCCCCTGACAAATCAGAAAAAAAGTGGCAAGACTGCCGTGCCTCCCTGTTTCTTCTAGGCTTTGGCTGTCTTCCAAGAGTTCCAGGCAAATTGGAAAATAATCTTTTACAGATAAATTCGTATTACCAGCTGAATGACTGCTTAATTGCCTATTGAGGAAATTTTTTTTGCACTGAATGTCTTCCCAAAGAGAACAGCCATTTGTTAGAGTAGGTACATAATATTTATTTTCTTGGAATTTAATACTACTTTACATGTTTTCTGATTGTGGAACAATTTCTATTACAGGTTTAAAACCAAAAACTTCCCTCTTATCACAGAAGATTTATTTAATATTCACATTCCAAATACACAGATAGTAATCTTGATGGGAAACCACATCAAAGCTACATACACAAACGTAGACGTTCCTGCTGCTCATGATATGTGGAAGAAATGTATTTATTACCCTGGCCTATTCTAGAAGACAGCCAAATGAAGAGAGATCATTTCAAACTCCTTGATACACTGTTCTGGTGGCTTAAATTCTTTTCTTGTGACAAGAAAATCCAAAAATATTAATATCTATCTAAAAAGATAGTAAATCCATGTAAATGAACATGTAAAGAAAGGTTAGCTAAATAATGTGTTTAAAAATAGCTCATTAAGTTCATTAAATTGTCAAAAAATTTAGAGACAAAAAATAAATTTTGAAAAAGGCTCTTGGTAAATTCAGGACTGGGAAAGAAAAAGACAAATACATAAAGAAGTTGTAGAGCCACGTGGCACTACCTGTAGCCCTGTCGGTTATGCCTTTGAAGTGGTTTTCTTTTCCATGGGGTAAAGATCTGAAATGAAGGACATATTGTAGACTTTCCCCTGAAAATAGACCTCTCTACATATAGATATAATCTATAGGTATATATGCATAGAGAGCTTATATGTGTGTATCTGCTAAAATTATGCAAAACTAACAAGCAAGATATCCTGTATCCACATATAATGAAGTAAGTGCGGGCAGCCCACAGAGCCTACAAGTTCTCTTGTCAGCTTTTGAATCCTCCTCTGCCCTTTATTTCTTTCTTGCATTTATAATTGCACCAAATTTTCAAATCCTAAGTAAAGGCACTACTGACCTCCAGTAGTGCACAAAATTCATGTTTTTGATTAAGAATAAAACACTTTAAATGAGCAGATGCAAATGAAAAATGCCTGCTTTTTAAAAACTCATTCTACTGTCAAAGTGGATTTTTCTTAGGAGTAAATCCTGTTTTGGGTTGGCTTCCATTATCAAACCACAGACAGGTTCCTATGGGGGGCTATGACACGTGGCTTCTTCATTTTAAACAAACTGTTTTCACCAGATATTGAGAGGTAATGACATGTAATGAACAAGTAATAGCATGTAATGAAAAATCCAGGTACAGTGAACACACTTGTGTTCCAACCACCCAGTTTTTTGGAAAAAAAATTGGACTTTCTTGCAGGACTTCCATAGATTCTACCCCCTTCCCTCCTTCTCTAGGGCAACCACTCCTGACTTTTGTGCTCATCACTCCCTTCCTTTTCATCAGTTTGACCATGGCTATTTGTATCCCTAAAGAACAAACACATTAGCTGTTTTTGCTTATTTCTGAATGCTTATCAATGGAATCATACCAAATAGATTCCTTTGTGACATGCTTTTGTTCCTGAAATGTACCCATATTGACATATGCTGTTTACTACATTTCTCACAGTGGTTTTATGACCTCAGCTAAAGGAAATGAGTAATTTAATGACCAGACATTCACAGTCAAGGTTTGCAAACAGAAAAGGAAATGCCCTGTGTTTTCTATCCCATCTTTCTTCTCTATGTCCTATGGAAGAAGCCACAGTCACTCTGCAGGCTCAGGCCTAGCTTTAAACCAATCCTCTGCCGAAGCTGCTGGATTTCAGAAAAAGAACAGGTTGGTTCAGATCAAAGGAAAAAATAAACACAGGAAACAGCAGATGCACCAATTCAAAATGCAGCAGGAATGAATTAATGTGTGAATATAGTTCCTGGGAAACATGTACTTTATACAAACATAAACACAAATTGTGGTAAGATCCCAGTCCCAGAGATATGAGGTAGAGAACGTTTTACAAACATGATTTCCCCAGGTAACATCATGGCCAGCATTTCTTGAGTACCTACTATGTGCCACGCACTGAGTTAAATGCTTTTATATGTATTATTTTACTCTTCACAGATTCCTCATCAAACTTATAAGGTGGTTTCGCTATTACATCCATTTTACAGAAAAAGAAAAAAGGGTTCATTTGGGATTGAGGGAAAATAACTTCATTGTTCAAGGTCACATAAACTGGACTTTGAACCCAGCTGTTCTGACTTCAGAGCCATGAATGTTCCACTGAGTTCATTTCCTGCTGTACACTGAGTGGGAGAGATATGGTCTTTAGAGCATTTCTAAGGGAAGTCATAGAATGAGAATTCATTCTTACCTTTTGTGAGGTGGGGAAAAGGAGGCTCAGAAAGACTTCAGGCTTCCTGATGAGTCAGGGGTTGATATTAGGATGGAATTTACTTTCCAGTAAACCCAACAAGTCCTTACTGAGTGCAAGCTATGGGCCTGTCCTCGGGAGACATTCATTCTCTTAGTCTTGGGCTTCTTCTGCCATCAAATGTCTCTTAAGGCCCTGGAAATTTTGGCCAATCTCTCACTAAGTGGACAAATTCTGTCTCTTGGGACCATCAATCACTAAGTGGACAAATTCTGTCCCTTGGGACCATCAATCCAAGCTCTGGCCAAGGTACCAGGGAGGCCTTGAGGTTACTAAGGAAAAGCTAGAAGGAATCTGGAAGCTCAAGGTGACTCAATGAACTGCTTTCTGACACCCTTCACTTCAAAGTTCAAACACAGTCTATCCTCCCTTTCTCAGCAGTCAGTCCTATGAGATTCTGAGACTCCCAGAGATGCAAAAACATGCACAGCTTAACCGTGCAAGCCACATGGCCCTGATGAACTCTATACCTAACACCCCTACCAAAGCCTCATTTAACTTTCACAGGCATGACTTGGTTGTACTTACCTCGGCCACCTTTTTGTCCTCTTGGACCTGGTTTCCCTGGAACTCCGATGACAATTCCTGGTGTCCCTTTTTCCCCTTTGAGACCAGGAAGACCAGCAGGTCCAGGCACACCAGTGATACTGGCTCCTAGGAGATGCAGAGGGAGGAGACAGAGCTCAGTGGAGGTAGGGCCTTCATGCCTAGGTCACTTGCCTGTGGCGTGGAAGAAGAGCTCATTCAGGTAGAAAGACCCCCCCCCCATTTTCCTCCTCATATCAAGGACTTCAAATTGAAGGCTGGTGAAGAGATCTATGAGGCCAACGATATGAGATATACCACAGTGCAGATTCATGCCAGTCCCTGCCAGGTTTCTGGAAATGCTGGTGTACTCCTTGCCCTTGAGGGTCTTGCTTACCTAGAGTGCCGTGGGTACCTTTGGTGCCTGGAAGCCCGTTCAGTCCATGTAAACCAGGAGGCCCAGAGTATCCTGAGGAAAGAGAAGGTCAGAAATGGCTCCAGCCACTGTGAATAATAGTCAGCAAGAAGTAGGTACTCACCAACAGAGGCATTGAATGGTTCTCATTTTAAAATCCTGTCTTTCTTGAGGCATTACTTAATGACTAAGGGAGATTAGCACCCCCTAACTTATATCCTATACCCAAGGTTCTCATGACTCTTACCAGAGACCAATACAGCTTGAAGAGTAAGGTGGTAGTTAACTGGATGTTATGGTTTGAATCTGAAATTTCCCTCAAAGGCCTATGTGTTGAAGATTTGGTTCTCAATGCAGCAGTATTCATAAGTGGGGCTTCTGGGAAGTGATTGGATCATAAGGGCTCTGACCTCATTGGTAGAGGAATCCACTGATGGCTTCATACTAAGACTTAGCTGAATGGAGTGGGTCCTTGGTGTTGTGCTATTGGGAGATACATCTTTTTACCAGCTACTTCCTCTAACTCTCTCTGCCTCCTGTCTGCCATGAGGTGAGCTGCTTTGGTCCACATGTTCCCCGCCATGATGTTCTGCCTCACCAGGAACCAGAAAGAATGGAAACACATGACCATGGACTAAAATCTCTAAAACCATGAGCCAAATCAATCTTTCCTCTTTTAAGTTGATTTTCACAGCTATTTGTCAAAGCAACGAAAAGCTGATCAACATAGTAGGTTTCTTCAAGAGCTTAAGAGTGGCAATGCCAGGATCTTGAGTTGCCACCTTTGGAAAACTGGTTCCAGAAACTTGCTGCCCATTCTTTAAGTCAGGGAAAGGGAACATATGCTGGGGCAATAATCTTCTGCTATGGCTTGGATATGGTTGAGTGTGTCCCCCCCAAAGGTTTTATGTTAGAAGCTTGGTCCCCAGCAATGGCAATGTTAAGAGGTGGTGAGACCTTTAAGACGTGAGACCTAGTGGGACTTGGTTGAGTCATTGGGGCAACTGCCCTAGGAAGGGATTGAGGTAGTTCTCATTGGACCCTGAGTTAGTTCTTATAAGAGCGAATTGTTATAAAAGAGCATGACTGGCCCCACATCTCATTCTGGCTTCCTATGTTTCCATATGATCTTTCCCTCTTACATGCAGTCTGCCATGATGCCACTCTCCATCAAGTGATATAGCCGGGGCCCTCCTTAGAGGAAGTGCCATGCCGTTTGGACTTTCAAGCTCCAAAACCAAGAGCTAAATAAACTTCTTTTCTTTATAAGTACTCGACCTCGGGGATTTCATTATAGTAATGAAAATCAAATACATCTTCCTTGATAATGCTTTTCTCCATGAATCCCATGTTCTTCTTTTCCCATTTATATTACCCACCTTCTTTCTTCTTTGTCTCCTTTTCCTGTGATTCCCCACCCCCCTCTGGCATGGTGTAACCCTGGATACGGTCTTCTAAGATAAAGTAGTTGTTTTCCTTTATTGAGGAAAGGATATTATCCCCCACTTTCTGCTCTCAAGCACACATACCTTTAGGTCCTATTAATCCAGAGGGTCCCAGAGGCCCAGTTGACCCTGGATGACCAGAGGAACCTGGAAGCCCTGGGTCTCCTCTCATACCTCCAACCCCTGGAAGTCCTAAATGTAAAACCAAGGCAGAAGTTCAAAATAGGGCATGGCTTGAAGATAATCCTAACTTTCTCAGAATAAAGCTGTCATGCGACTGGTACCTTGGGAACCAGGAAGCCCAACATCTCCAGAAGTGCCAACTTTTCCATTTTCACCTTTTTCCCCTGGAAAACCTATATCACCAATCAGTCCATCTTTTCCTTTCACACCTATAAAATCAAGAAAAAAGTTGAGTGATTAGGTCACATTCCTGGCAGTATGTTTTTCTGTCGGAAAGGGTAAGCAGGAAGGTGAAAACATTTTGACATGCTCAGGGAGCTTGATTCAATGAAGAGACTCTGAAAAGGATCATGGCAGCTGTTTTCACATTTGGAAGGTACCACTCATTTGAAAAGTACATTTATTCTGAGTGCTTTTCAGAAGTGGGAGTGATGGGCTGAAATGTGTGAGAAGCACAGTTTAGATAAAAAATCTATAAACTAAGGAATGGGGTACCATTATCCCAGAAGACTGGGTCAGCCTGTGAGTCTTAAAGGGACCGAGCTGGTTTGCTTGGAGGAAGCTGCAGGTAAGAATATTTTTGCACTGGATGTAAATTGCAGAATTTAGGACTAGGCTCCAAAATTCCTTCTAATCCCCGGATTTGAGGAGATTGTGAGTCCCATGAGAGAAAAATGTAGCAGCCTTACCTTTAAAACCTGATTCACCAGGTTGTCCCTTGGATCCTGGGCTACCAAAAATTTCAAGCGTCTGGCCCTGATCTCCTGGTGATATCAAGACATTGTATAAATAGTCAGGAGAAGCTACAGGTCAGTTTTACCACAGAGATCTTTTGAACACATTTTTTCAGCCTGGGGAGCTCCTTCACAAAATTATCTATTTGGGTGAAAGGTGCACAATCCTCATCCAGGAGCTGGGGTGCTACCAGGCTACTGGCATGAAATGCTGCTGCATGCAGTAAATCTCTATTGGGAAACACTGCACTGAGCTCAGATGGTAGGTGGGGCCCTAAAACATCACCAGCTTGGAACAGTGATGCCAGCAATGAAAGGAAATTGTCCTGCCTAGTAGGCTGGGTTCAAGGGGGAGAGGCTATCTGGAGTGAGGTTCTTTTCTGCTGCTGAGAATGCAAGGCAGATGGGTCAAGCTACAACATCAAGGACTACCTTTTCATTGGCTGCATGAAAGCCCTAAAGAGAGATCATGGTAATTACCACTGTTTGTTGCATTACTTTTGAGGAACAAGGATTGCAGAGGGAATTTGGCTAAAGGGGAAATGTAAACCAATTCATGTGATTTTCCCAAAATACAGTCACTCCCAAGAGAGTTCTACGTTTGCAGGGAAAAAAAAGAGAAAATGCTTCCTACCTTTTAAGCCTGGGAGACCAGATTCTCCTGTGAGTCCAGGAGTCCCAATGAGACCCTGTGAACCCTTCAAGGCAATATGGGAATCATCATTTCTGCCCAGATCTCAGAGATGCTCATCATCTCCCTCCCCACCCACTCCCTGAGCCTTTGTCATTGCCTGACGAATGCTATTCACACCCTGTGTTAAAGGGGACTCGGGGTGGGGGGGGCGTTAATACTGCAAATTGGAAGGCACCAAGTTAGGGGCCAATGTGCACACTTAAGGCTTGTAGATGAAGGATTCCATCTGCAGACAAATCCTCATCTTGCCATTCATAACTTCCCATTGCCTATCCAAACTGAAATCTAGGGAAATCAAGTTGTGGTTGCTCTAGTAAGTCTCAGAAAATACAGAACATGACAGTTAGGCCAGGTGCTCAATGAGCTCCACAGTTAGCCAGCTACCACCACTCTGACCAAAGCTGTAGAGCCGTTAATGTGTAAGATAGAGTGGGGCTTCACCAAGCAGGGTGAACCTTCTGCCGCATCTTCCACAAGGACCATGAGGTCATCCTGCCACCAGGTAGCAGGCTGTAATTGTGCAGGTGCTGGATTTTATCTGAATTTGAATGAATGTTAGTTATTCTTTTCACAGGAAAAGTTGCCTTCCCTGGCCACTTGCCTACCATGCTACCAGCATCTGGGGAGTGGGTATGTCAGCTGCTATCTGTGGCTGTTCCCCTGATACCTGATCCTGGTATCTGGTATAGTTTTGATTCATTTGGAGATGTCCCCAGTACAGAAATATGCAACTTAGTGCTTTGGGCAGGAGGCTGAGTACTGGACTCAATCACTGTGCTCCCTGGATCAGCACCCAGAATACTCCTCCATCCATCTTGCTTCCCTGCCTGGCTTCACTGGCACACTGCTAATAACTACTCCTAATATGAGCCTCTGCTCATGTTCGGGCCCCTCCCAGAATGCCTTCTCACTTTGTTTCCAACCCTCCTTCTATGTGCACGACTCTTCAGTATTCAATGACTTCTTTTGCAAGTGCTTCAGGTATGTGCATGTTTGTTCTCGCCACCAGATGGACTAACACTTTGAAGGACAGGGTCTTTGCCTGCAGGGGGTGCAAGTGTTCTGTGTCCAGTTCATTTAGACACTTTGATACTGCTAAGCAAGCACTCTACCACTTGAGCCACGCCCCCAGCCTTTTGTTTTTATTCTGTTTTTGAAATAAGGTGTGGCTAGCTTTTCCAGAGCTGGCCTTGAACTATGATCCTCCTGCCTCTGCCTCTTGAGTAGCTGGCATTACATGTGTGCACCACCATGCCTGACCTGACACTGCTACTATATATGTGCAGAGCTTGCCATGTGTCTGACACACAGTGGCAAGTGCTTTAAATAAGCCATCTCACTTAATCCTTATTGTGGAGATTTAAGAAAGCGGATTACTTAAAGATGTTAGAATATTGTCCCATTTTTGTAGACGAGGAAAGTGAATCTCAGGAAAGTTAAGCAATGTGCACAAGATCAACAGTGGCAATGAGTGATGGGGCTGAGATTCAAATCTAATTTCTTGCTAAACCTATGCTACTCTACTCTGCCTGGTAAGATCCCAGAGAAAAGGAACTTGATTCTTTGCTGCTACTTGTAGCCCCTTGTGGTACTTTGAAGACCTTTGTATCAGGTGAATATGGTGGCACATGCACTCCCCTACACTCTGTAATCCCAGCACTCTGGAGGTAGATTCAGGAGGATCACGACCTTGAGGCCAGCCTGGGCTAGACAGTGAGTTCCACGTCAACCTGGGCAACATAGCGAGACCCTGTCTCAACTCCCCCAAAAGACATGTCTGTCAAAACATCAAGGTATCTGTGCTGAATTTTTACAGTGTGCCCATCTCAATGTGGGATGTTGACAGTGGGGTGCAGAGAAAAACATGTAAGGCAGTTCTTGTTCTCAAACCCCAGAATCTCACTGAGGAAGGGAAATCCTCCAGAGAACCAACTGGCTGGATAGAAGCAGTGAGAAGTAGAGTGCAAGCACGGTGACAGCTCAGGGTCTCCTGAAGAGTCGGAGCTGGGCTGGCCCGAAGGGCAGGCAGGTGTTGGCAACTACAGAGAAGACAACCTGCCGTGTGGGGAAGATAATGTGAGCAAAGGCTCAGGAAAAGGGAGGAACCTGTAAGGCAAAAAGAGGCTTTATCTGAGGATGTTCTGGGAGATGAGAACTGGCCTGGTATCAGAAAGGTGGGCATGGGGCACATCTCCCTGTTATGTAGGCCTTTCTCTAATGGAAAGACAAGAATCTGGGCACACTTACACTTTTTCCTGGCATTCCTGGGAAACCTGTGATCCCTGGGGACCCCTTCAAGCCAGGTAAGCCCCGTAATCCCAGGGATCCAGGGAGACCTGGCTTCCCACTAAGTCCTTTCATGGTGCTGGGGAGGCCAGGAGCCCCAGGCAGGCCTGGTGACCCTGGGCGACCAGCATCTCCTTTGTCACCTGGGAAAGAAGCAAAAGGGCTTGGAAAAACACTGAGCCACAGAAAACCTGCTGGCCCAGGTGCAGATGCCCTGGGTCACAGGCCAAGTGCAGGTTTGGGAAAGGGTGCAGTTAGCTCGGGGAGGAAGAGGTATGGTGGAGGGTAGTGCCTTAAGCCTTATGGGGCAAGCAGCTCAGTACCCATGCCCTTACTACATGATAGGCTCTTCCAGTGGTACCACAGACTGTGTTCAAAAAAACCTCAGTTCCATAGTGGAATAACAACTGGAAGCCTCAACAGTCAGGCCCAGGGAACACAGTCTTCTTGAACCCCATGCCACCACCCACACTTCTGCTCAAGGTGGGTGGGGGGCTTTGCTCAGGAAGGAAGCCAAGTCTGGTAAACTCTTTCTTGGGTATTTGTTCTGGTCATCCCCTGCCTCAGCACCTCTGGGCCCAGGAAATCCATTTGATCCAGCTGAGCCCTGAGAGCCTTTGTCTCCTTTGAACCAAAGGTTCAGCATTGAAGGTCTTGCACTGGGTACTCCAACTGGCCCTGGATCACCTCTGTCTCCTGCAGGGATGCAGATCAGGCCATCAGAATAAGAGAGAACTTACACAGAATCAGGAGGGCTGAACTTTCCTATCATTTCTTCCCATGACACTCCCAGACGTCTTACTGGGTCCTTCTCTCCTTTTTCCCACTCCCTCCACAACCTTTCCTTCTACAAACCCATCATTTTACAAATCCATCAGCAATCTTAGACCCTACTCAAAACCCTTCTCCAAGGATCATCTGAGAATGTACAGACAGCACATCTGTTTTAGTTTGAATAAGTGTTCCTCAAAGGCTTATATGTTAAAAGCATGGTTCCCAGACTGTGGCACTGTTGGGAGGTGGTGGAGCCAAGTGGGAGGAAGTTAGGTCATTGCAGGGCATGTACTCAAAGGGGATTTTGGAACTCTGGGATCTTCTTCTTCCTCTCTCTTTGCATCCCAGTTACCATGAGGTGAACAGCTTGCTCCACCATGTGTTCTTTGCCATGATGTACTGCTTTACCACTGGCCCAAAAGAAATAGGGTTAAGAGACCATGGACTAAAACCTCTGCAACAGTAAACCAAAATAAACCTTTCCTTATGAATTGATTATCTCAGGAATTTGTTACAGTGATGGAAAGTTAATATGGAAAATTGGTACTGACATGGGATTATTGCTGTGAGTATACCTGAGATGATGTGGAAAAGTCTTTAGAACTGGTTTATGGGAGGAATTTGGAAATGTATGGAGGAGTGTGCTAGAGAAAACTTAGAATGTTATAAGTAGAGCTTAACCGGCAGTTCTGGTGAGAACTCAGGAGACCAGAATGATGAAAGAAATGTAGATTGTAAAGGCTATGCTGATAAGGTTTCAGATAGAAATGAGGACTCTTTGGGCCTTCTTCTGGCAAAAACAAAATTGGATGCATTATGCCCATGCCTTGAGACACTGTGGGAAGATGAGCTTAGAGGTGACAGACTAGTTTATCCAGCAGAGGAAATTTTAAGGCAGGAAAGCACTCAGGCAGCGACATGCATTATTACTGACTGTTTTTAACCAAATTTATTGTGAGAATCAGGAGCAAAGAGGAACAGAGAGGAAAAATTTGGAAAACTTGCCATTTGGCCAAAAAAGGAGCACATTTAAAGGTGCTGCCAAAAAGGGTGCAATTGTTAAAGAGATTGGTGCCATTAAAAAGAAGTCAAGTACTTTGCACTGGACAAAAGGAAAGATGCCTTGAGGAGATATCAGGATAGACAAGATCCTACCTATCACCCACCACAGGCTCAAAGGTGTAAAAGTGAACCTCTTTTCAAAAATGTTCTTAAAGAGAGCCCTGGGAAACCCTTCTTGCACAGGGCTGCCTAGGTCCCCAGGATTCATTTCCCTGTGTTCAATCATCAAGGCACTTAGATTCTGCTGTAGCTGTGGTTCAGGGTGGCCTGGGTATAGCTCATGCTATGGCAATGTTGGTGTCATCCACAAGGTGCTGATTTTCCAGGCATGCATAATGTAAGAGTTAAAAACTTACAGAAGATTCCACCCAGATTTCAATAGGAAATCTGGGAAGCCGGGCAAGGTCAGAGTCCCTGTGGGCAGCCCCTGACAGGGTGATGAGATTAGCTGTGAGATGGAAGATGAAGCTGTGATGGGGACCTTGGAAAGCTGGAGATAAGGGGAGTTGCAGGCAGCGGGCAGAGCTAGCTCAAAAGAGTGATTATGTGGGCCACACACTCCGTATGGCCAGCAAGGGCATGGGGACGGAAATGTAAAGCCCTCTGTAGTCCACATTCTACCATAGTGTGCCCATCATGCCAGACATGGAGCACTAAGATTGGTTTTCCCTGATGGGTTTCAGATCTTGCTTTCTATGTTTCTTTCAGAATAGGAATGTTTACCCTATGTTGTTGTATCTTGGAAGTATGTAACTTGTTTACTTTGTTTTTATAGGGGTTCACAGCTAAGAGTATGCCTTGAGTCTCAGTGGAGAGTTTGGACTTAGACTTTTGAACAAGGCTGGAATAGATAAAGCTTTGGACATCCTTGGAGATGGACTGAATGCATTTTGCATTATTAGATGGACATTGAAGGCTTAGTTCCCAGCCTGTGGTGCTATTGGGAGGTGGTAGAACCTTTGAGAGGTAGAGCACAGTGGAAGGAAGTTAGGGCCCTGGAGGCATGCCTTCGAAAAGGATTGTGGAACTCTGGTTTCTTCCATTTCCTCTCTTTTTGCTTCCCAGCCACCATGAGGTGAGCAGCTTGCTCTACCACACGCTCTCTGGATGTACTGCTTTGTCACAGGCCCAAAGGGAACAGGGTCAAGTGACCATGAACTGAAACTTCTAAAACCAGTCGCTAAAATAAATCTTTTCCTCCTTCTAAGTTGTTTATCTCGGATTTGTTGCAGCTGCGGAAAACTGACTAACATAGTCCCTAACATGCAGTGTTAATTCAGAAGCAATTAGTCTTTTGATTTAAAAGGACTCAATTCAGAAGCTCCAAATCTTATCTAATATAGAGTTAGTATAAACCATGGGAATGACAAAGTCAGCCATCAAAATATACTTTGAGTGAGAAGCAAGGTGTTTGTTCTGGAACTCACTTCTCCTTCTCACCTTTTTTGCCAGGGTTACCAGCCTGTCCAGATGTTCCCATCTTTCCAGCTGACCCGGGAATTCCCTTTACTCCACTTGCTCCAGGAATACCAGGAAGACCTGGCACCCCTGGAAAACCTACTAGTCCAAAAGACCCCCTTTCACCTGTTAAGAAACAAGAACTTCTATCATTATCCCACTTTTACATACAAGGAAACAAAGGGAAGCTCAGAGAAGTTGAATTATTTGGCCAAAGTCACAGAGATAAGTTGCAGAGAAAAGATTCAAACCTGGGCTTTTGTAACTTCAAAATCCCCATTATTACCAAGCTTTTAGTCACTATGCATTCTGATTCCCTTGAACAAGGAGGGACATGTCACTAAGCAACACAAAGGAAAGAATTGGGTCACTCTGTTATGATTCACTAAGTTCAGAGCATATGTGTGGCATAGAAAAAAATCCCAGCATAACCTGCCTGTTGCTAGCCAGTTGTGTGCCCTTGTACCAGTCACTTTCCTGTTTAATAGAGATGCCACCTGCCCAGCCACTGATGACTATTGGGGCAATCATAGGAAGTAAGAGCTATCGGGCTTCATGGTAAGTTCATGCAAATGAATAATTTCCATGTGACTGTTACTACTCTGGGCTTTTCTGAACATGGTATTCAGCCCAGTATTACACTCATCAAGCAGTATGGGTGACTCACCTTAGCCTTGTCCAACTTATTTTGCCACAGGAAGTCCTGCCCACCTCCCTCTCTGCTCCCCATTCCTAGGTAGAGGAATGGAGCAAGCTGGGCAGCTGGGATGCTCCTTTCTGGTACACATTGGTCACTTCACTGGCCTTCCTGATCACTTCACTTACCCTTTTGGCCTGGGAGGCCTGGCAACCCTGTGACCCCTGGCAAGCCTGGGCTTCCCAGGAAGCCAGTTAGCCCCGGAGATCCAGGAAGGCCTTTTATCCCAGGTGGACCTCCTTTTCCAGTTGCTCCAGGGTGACCTGCCTCACCTCTTGAGCCCTTCTTTCCAGGATGTCCTGAATCAGCACAGGAGAGAACACAGGACGGCTGTTAAGTGGCCAGATCCAGTCCACTGCCTGTTTCCATAGCTTCTGGTTGGTTAACTTGTTGAATTTTATAAATAGCCCTTTAACAATGCCATATGTAAGCTACTAATAGGCAAAGTTCTTAGTTGGTTGGAGCATTAGCACCTACTATCCAGAGTGCCACACCAAATAGTTATTATTTTCGGCATGGCACAATAGCTGGCAGAGATCGATCCCCTTGTGATTACAACTTCCCCCTTTATGAATGTGGTTCACGCTTGAGCTTCTGAATGGAGCTCTAGAAAGCCAGGGTGGAAACTGGACTCCAGTTTCTTGGTACTTTCAGTGGGAATTACACCACAATGACTATTTTCCTGAGCCAATTGGTGAAGTAGAGGTTAAAACTGAGCTGTTGTTTCAGCCTCACAGGGAGCCTTGGATACAGGGCTGCCCTTTTAATCCTTCAAGCAAGCAGTTAAGTCAGCCAGTTCTTTGGCTTTAAGGTTGAAAGACCCCCTAGTGACAAGTACTGTAGAAACCAGTAAGTCCCATTTGATCTTCTAGGTATTCTGAGCCTTCTTTCACCATGCTTTAAGTTGGTCAATGGGATTAACCTCCTGAGCTGCTCCCAAAATGGAATGTTCAGGTACAAAGCAAGGAAATTAAAAAACCAAAAGATTAAATCAATGACGGCAGAGGTATTTGGGCCCCCAAGGACCTAAATGAATGGCTGACTTAGCTTTCTATGCAATGAAAAGCATCAAGTAGCTGCTAGCCCTAGGATTCCAATGGGAGGCAGTGAAGAGGACTCCACAGCAAAGGGAGGAAATTCAATGGGAGCCAACCTCACAGCATGAGCTCAGGGATCCCTGCCCTCATAGGCTAGGCCGTGTTGTAGTATATGATCAGATAATTCCCTGGTGGGGGGGTCTCGGTCTGTGAGTTTGTGTACTGTGTTTTTTCACCTAGAAAGCTTATGTGAAGACCCCAGAAACACCAAAGGACAAAGGAATAAAAAGGATATTAATGGCTCTGCGAATACCTCAACTTCAGTCAGTTGGCCAGGAGTAAGGGGGAGATGATGTAGTTACTGAGGCAGGGTATGAAGAGTGGTGCACGAAAAAGGCAAGCTGTAAACTCTAGGCTGAAATCGGGGGTTGTCAGTCCCCACCGCTGAATGAAAGCCAATTTTTGGCCATGGGTTTCAGAAGCATGCTCGCCTGAGAGGCAGGCCACCAGGGTGGTCGCACTCTGCCCAAGCTTTTTCCTAATCCATGGTGGACTTCCAATAGTCCCAGTGAAGGGCACGGAGATGGTCTACATCCACCTCAACAACAAGGGTGCCTTCTCTAACTGGGAAAGGCAGGAGGCAGGCATTGAAGTGGGGCATGAGGCCATGGAGGTGGGCGGGCAGTGATTTGTTGTCTTATTTTGGAAGCTAAACTATAGCGGTCTGTTCTACTTGGCACTGCTAGAGTGACTTGAGATTTTAAACTTGAGAGGTTAGGGGAGTCAAGTGTCATTACACCACTGCTCTTGCCCCTCAGGATACCTGAGTCTAGGGCCTAGCTGAAGTCTGTTAAGCTGGGGATATTCCTGCAATAGACCTACCTGAAGTGCCTGGAAGGCCTGGTGGTCCTGGGAGCCCAGATTTGCCCTTGATGCCAAGTGGATCACTAACCCCTGGGGGGCCTGGCTGTCCAACTTGTCCCGATGTTCCAGGGCTGCCCTGCTCACCTTTGGGGCCTAGCAAGCCAGACTTCCCATGCAAACCTAATAAAAGGGAGGACCACAGATGATCACAGCCTGGATCACTGGCAGGGACTGGGTCACCAAATCAATTTCCAATGAAAGGGCTTGGCCCAGGGTTTATCCAAGTGACACTGTCTTCTTAGCTCTGGACTTGTTGCTATTCCCAGAAGTAATCCAGAGGCTTTGGAAGAAATCTGACTATTGGTTATGATTACTTCTGGAATTACTAAAATAGAAAAATGGACTCAAGACATTTAAAAACAATTTAACCAAAGGAGAGACAGAGCAAAATGAGATTTCATTTTAACCCCCTAATTAATCCATCATCCCAGACCCATGCAAGTATTCATGCAAGTATACCAGTTACTGTAAGACTTTCTGTAGATTGTTAAATAAGTGGGGGAAAAAAGAGTCACCCTTGGGTCCTGGAAGGCCAGAGTCTCCAGGAAATCCTCTGTCCCCTGGCAATCCCTGCAGGCCTTGCTCCCCTGGAGCACCATTTTCTGCACCAAAGATGTCACCGGGGGCACCCTTGGAACCTGGTACACCTGGAATGCCAGCCTTCCCAGGCAAGCCATCTTTTCCAGGAAGCCCAGGAAATCCAGGCAAGCCCTTTTCTCCACGAGGTCCAGGAAATCCTAAAGGTAAAGAGGCAAAAATAAAAGACCAATGATGTTTAGAAGTGACTTGTTTGGATGGAGATCTCTGAGACAGATTTTTCTAATACAAAAGCTAATATGTTATTAAAGACCAGAGGCCTCAGTTACTGGGAGGACTTGCAGAGGCAGGGACTGCACCACATGACCTGGAGAAGGTACTAGTTCTGTGAGGCTGGTTATGGGCAAAGCTCAGCAACCTGCTCCTGGGGCTTGACAGTTGCTGAGAGCACAGGTTACATGGAGGTCTCCTGGCTAAAGCTCAAACTGTTCTGGAGTTTTCTAACTACTGTCATACCTCCTTTTTTGTGGGTGGGGAGAGGGTGGTGGAGGGAACCAAGGCACCAATCCCCCTGGAGCAGGTGGCTCAAAATGAGCCCCGAGCCCTAGAGCAGTGGCGGTTGAGGATCAACTTGGGAAACACACAGATTGCTGGCCCCACTGCAGAGTTTCTGCTCAGCAGGTCTTTGAACAGGCTGAGAATTTACATTACTAGCAAGTTTCCAGGTGATGCATGTGTTGGCCCAAGGAGAACTCTTTGAGAACCACTGGTGCAATGTAGCCTCATGAAGCTTAGGGTGGAAAAAAGGGTTTGAGAAAGGGGGTAGAAAGGAACAACTTCTCTCTGATTGATCCAAACCTTTCTCTAACCTCTAAGAAGCTGATCAGGAAACTGCCATAGTACTGACAAGCAGACAACTGGCAGAGTCCTAGCTCTGTCACTAGTGGTTTTGCAATCTTGGGCAACTTACTTTTTATTTGGGCCTCAGTTTCCTCATCTGAAAGTTAAAGAGTTGCCCAGCTGATCTCAAATGGCCCTTGTTGCTCTGCTATCGTTCTATTGCTTTCTTGTCTAGGTGTTAAACCATTCCAACCACATTAGGGAGAAGACCCAGCTTCCTGTCATTGATGAAGGGCGACCACAACCCAAACACACATATTCAAACAAAGGAGAAGCACGTGAGGAGAAGAAGCACCTTTCCTTACCTGGCCATTCTGGGAGGTGAATTAATCCTGGACTTCCGGGCTCCCCAGGCTCTCCTTTACTTCCTTGAGATCCAGGCTTGCCTGGGATTCCAGGAAGGCCATGGATCCCTTTAGGGCCTGAAAACCCAAATGCAAGCAAGCAATGAGGGGAAAGAGAAATCAGCATGGCTAGATTTGATTTATAATGTTCAGTCAAGAATCTTAGTTTCTTGAGGGCCTCTCCTCTTCTCACCTCCCTACACTACACTCTCCAGCAGCCATTCTATTTTTTTTGGTCCCCAATGCAGCTATTAGGAGGATATGGACCCTTTACTGCTACTGAGCTAGCTTCTGCTTCTTTTGGCTAATGCCCCTTAAAGTGTACTTACTGGCTTTCTCTGGCCTCATTCCATACCTGGGAATCCGGGAGCTCCTGGGAATCCTGATGGACCATATGACCCGGGAATAACACAAGGCAAGGTGATTCCTATAAATAGTAACATGCATATATCTGGTGAAACCACTGAGTCAGTGAAGAGTCCCTCCTAGCATGCTCCTTTACTTCCATTCTATAATTTAATGGGACAAACACATTCTCCCTACCTGGCAGCTAGGAACCCACACAAAAATTGTGGCATCAGAAACTCTTGGGAGTTACTACTCGTGAAATTGCTTATAGATGACAATATCCTTAGTGTCCAAGTGCTTATCAAGACACCGGTGTCTGGCGGGCAAGCAGTCACCTAGGCAGTGGATGTTACCTGACAAGGTTTCCTAGAGGTAGCCTATGCAGGACCAGCAGCACAAAGCAACTGCCTGTTTACCCTGCCTTTAGATTGAGCCTCTCCCTAACATGGGCATTTGGGATTATTACTAAGGGTTCATATACCCACATTATAGATTGGGGGATTTGAAGCCAAGAGTTCACCATATACTTAAAATGAGGCTTTCCTCAAACCATGGGGTTCTTTTAATACACTTCATTTGGGATCTAGTAAAACCTATCAATTGTCCTTGGTTAGATGTACCCCATATGTCTGTATGAGGTAAACACTAAAGACCACTCTCTTGGTCATGACAGACAAATGGTGAGCCTTCCCTCAGCTCCTTATTCAAAACTGGCAACTCTGCTACACAGGAAAAGGGCTAGGCAGTTTCAATATTCAAGATGTCAAAATTGGGATGCATAGGCATTTCCTGTAGGAAATTCTTCCTTGCTCATTCATAATGCAAATGAAGAGTCTGTAAGACCACAGAGGGCAGGTTTAATAAAATATTGGTGAATGAATTGTTTGTGGGTTTCCTCAAGTGCCATTTATAAACAATTGCTATGCTAATTAAAATTAGTCTTGCTGATTCATTAAAACAACCCCCGAGGTCTGCTTTAAAACACGGAGCCAAAAATTCTAATAAACTACTATAGCATTTGCCTATATTTAAAAAAATCACAAATTGCATTTTTGAAAAATGTGTATACAGCCTATGATTCAGACTGCTTACTCAACTGGTTAGCAGTCCTCCTCTGATTCTACTTATATTTGCCAATCGTAAGTCTTGGCAATTTTAAAGACTCAATTGTTTTAGCCCCTAAATCAAGATTGGGAACTGGACAGTGTAATATATTGGTTATATTGGACTCAGAAGCCAGCCAGTCCTGAGCTGGTGTCATAGTTCTGCTAATACTCACCTGTATGGACAAGATTCTTAACTTCTTTGAGCCTCACATGTGAGATCGAGAGTATCTATCTCAGATGGTGTTTGTGAGGATTTTATGGAACAGTGCTAATGGCACTTAGAGCAGTGCTGGGGAACCTGGCAGTGCTCAGTGAAGAATGGTTCTTACTTCACCAAAGGAATATTTAGAAGAGCTCCTGTAAGGCTATCCTCTAGCTTTTACCTCAGTCAAGTGACACTACTTTTTAGCGTGGGAGTAATTTTCTGTCTTTGGACCTCGGTTTTATAGTAGTATTTTCACTGTAAGAAAGATGGCCATAGTCCTGGATCCTCCTCCACACATGGTCACACTACCCTCCATCCTGTCAGACATTGAGGTGGCAGAGCTATTTCTAAGTTATTTTCCTATTATGGATATATGCTCTATAGCTCTGAACCACTTACTGGGAGGCTGCTTCCAACCTTGTGCTCTACTGGGGCTTGGGTCCTTTGAATAAGGCTGAAGAACTGCCTCCAGAGCTGGTGTCATGAGAAGGGACCCCACATAAGACTCTTCTGCCCTCAACTGTCTCTATAGCCTACTTGCTCCAGTGTCTGACTCTTACTATTGCCTGGGTGAAGTACAAATGTGATGGCACCCATTCCCAATTTATCAGATCAGTTTATAATAGATTCTTTTCATCTGTGACAGGCAGGGCAAAACAAAGCCTTAAAAAGATGGGTCTGAGGTCAGGCATGCATTCCAGGGCAGGAAAAATAATGATAAAGGGAAGATGGGAAGAAACCAGAGGAAATCAAGGAAATGCTTCCTTTCATAATTTTGCCTCAGATCAGTCCTGTACACTACACTACTTATGTACTGCAAACTGTGAGAAAGTAAAGATTTCACAGTGTACTGGTACCTGACTTCTACTTTACATCCTCATCTTCTGATCGACATTCCCAAATTCAGACCATTCTCAACAAAGCAGAAATCAGCTCTACCCATGTTCTGTTTTGTAAGTGCAACAAATGACCAAGTTATTCAGAATTTTCACCATGAAGGCCAAAATTAATCTTTAGAATAAAAAGGACCTCTGGTTATCAAGATTCTAACCTCTCAATTTGTTCTGGGTCCAATGACTATAGAGATCAGATGTGTGAATCCTCGAAGGTACCTGCCAAGGTGAGTTGTAGCCCCAGTTAAAGTTCAGAAAATGTAGGCTCTTCAGATATCAGCCAAGCCATCAATATAGGTGGTGAAGAAAACAAGCCCCTCTCAGGTACTGCATGCCACCTTCTTCCGTACTACCTCCAGAGGTGTGTGCTAAAGAATCCTTGAAGCAGTGTCAGTGGTCAGTGAGTATCAGCCCTTGCATTCCAGCCTTAAAATCATCTTTCCCCAAACATGAGCTCCAGGGTGTGCTCAGGCCATTGTGAGTGCTGGAGGCAAAAGTGAATAAAAAGGAAGGCTGTGTTTTGCCAGCACTGGTGTCTGAGAACCTGTAGACTTAGCTAGCTCTCATGTCCCTCTCTGTCTCCTTTACCAACCTTTTCCTGCAGCAGCAATCACCTAGACCAATTAAGTAAGAAAATTAAACTAGGACAGAAGAAGATCCTTGAGGTCCAAAGGAAGTCTTGTCTACAGCCCAGATATGCTCACCAACCAAATTCATCACCTGGATTGAGTGGAGTGCTGGCACCGACATAGGATCAAGCACACAACAGCCACTTCAGTAATAGGGTGATGGATTACTTTGAGCATCTGGAGCCAGAGCCTCTTTGGAAACAGCCAGTTGTTGGCTTGCCCAGGGTTTACAATAATTCACCTACAAGGCTGATTACTACATTCCCTTTCCTGTCAATGCAGGCTGGCCTATCACTGGTAGGAGTGGGCACATTTAGGAACAGCATCTTAATTTTTTGCAGTAACAGAAATGACTACAGGTTGTTTTTAAAATTATGTGGGGAGAAAGCTAGGTTTATGAGTTATATTAGTTACTACAGAGAGAGAAGAGAGGCTAATGTTCCAAATGAAGTAATTGTTTTGAAAATCTTGGCACTATAACAAAGACATTTTCTACACAAGGCATCTTCCAGGCTACAGCTTACTGTAGCACTATGTTCCTAAGGTACTGGTGAAGTTTGGAGTAGAAATGATGTCATGGGCTTCTTTACATTGACTTGGCCTATTCTCAAATAGCTGGAATGTTGATAATATCCAGAAGATTTGAGGGTACATAAATTTACAGGTGCCATGTTATTATAAGCCAGTTATAACCGAGTTGCCTGCAAAGTGGGTTGACTTAGAGTGAAGATCCATCAGCTGACAGATGGGCAGTAGAATGACCATGAATAATATTTCTGGGAACAGACTGAAAGCAAAGCTATACCAAATACCGGGACTTCCAAAAAGCAGACTGATATTGTTTGATAAAATCTGAACTGGGGATGTAGTTCAGTGGTAGAGTGCTTGCCTAGTATATTCAAGGCCCTGAGTTCCATCCCCAGGGAAAAACTCAGATAAAATCCAGATAAAATCCCTCACAGCCTTCATAGGACTTTGTGAAATGAATCTTGAATGATCGAGTTTTAACCTGATCATGTTTATTACATTAATTCACAAAAATCAGTTTTAAAATAAATAAAAATGTACAGGACCTAATATCCTTTTTTCTTTTAAAAAAATTCTTCAAGGTGATAAGAGGAGAAATAGGTTTAAGAAATAGCCCTTCAGTTATTGGGAAGTCTCTTCTGCAAGTAAATACTAGTTTCCTTTGGAACACTCTTACGCTAGGCCAGTTGAGAAAGAAAAGAAGTATTACTCACTTTTCCTAGTATCCAGAGAATCACAATGTAGTTGGGAAAAATAAAGTGTTGATGGAAGGAGACATGATTTAAGTAGAAATTGTGCACTGTCATTTCTACTTAAAGGAAACTCTTACTGGAAGAAATAGAGCTAACTTTGCACCTTAAAAGATGGGTATGGCCGGGCACCGGTAGTTTACGCCTATAATCCTAGCTATTCAGGAGACAGAGATCAGGAGGATCATGGTTTGAAGCCAGCCTGGGCAAACAGTTCTTCCAGACCCTGTCTTGAAAAAAACTCTTCACAAAAAAAGGGTTGGTGGAGTGGCTCAAGGTATACAAAACAACAACAACAACAAAAGATGGATATGGCATGACAAAGTAGAGAAAATAAGAAAGATGCTCTTGGAAAAAGCAACAGGAGCAAAACCCTTGGAGTTGGAAATGTGCTTACCTGTATTTAGGTATAGTGAAGAAGACTGGTATCTTAGATTCTTATATTATGTAGTGTGTTAGACAATGTAAAAAAAAGTTGGTTGTATCCATGTTTGGAGACTTTTGGGAATTTCAGGATGAGGAGTTTGTACATTACCTTCTATTCAATAGGGACCAAATGTAGCTTTAGACTAGCACAGTAGCATGATGATATTGGCACTTTTCAGGTATTAAATTGGCAGCAATGTTCATAAATAGAATTGAATGGGAAAAGTCTGGAGGTAGGAGATGAGAAACTATTTAAGAATTTGTCATTAACTCACTTAACCATCCATCCATCTATCTGTTCAACCATCCATTCGTCCATCCACCCACCCATCTATCCACCCATCTGTGCAACCAACCAACTAACCAACCAAACAACCAACTAACCAATCATCTATTTATTCCAAAAGCATAGATATTTGGTAAGGTAGGCACAAGATAATGAGAACTTAGTAGCAAGAAGAGGAAGGAAAGAATATAAGAAGTATCTGAAAGGAAGAATAAGAGATAACCTCAAAGTTTCAAACTTTAGATGACTATAAGAAGTGTGGTGCCACTGATAAAAACACAGACATTTTCAAACACAGAACAGAAGTTGGATGAAGATCTGTTCTGGCTGGAGGAAAGAAGACCAGTTGTTATCACAGGACCATGTGTAAATAGGACTCTCACCCATTATAATTCCTGAAATTCAAGTAAGAAAAGAAATTCTAATGATTCCAAGATGGAGGCTAGAGGGTGGAAGCAGAAAGTGAGCCTCCTATAGTGAAATATTGGACAGACGCTGGAGACACACTTTGCAGGCATAATCACTGAGAAGAGGCATAACTTTGACCCCTGCACACCTCCAGCCGGTGCAGAGAATCTCCACTTCATGTTAAATGGAGAAACTAGGAGGGCCCCCGGGCCGCCAGTCGCCTGCGCCCAGACGGCTTGGGAAGACGTGGACCAGGTGAGCTTCATGGTACCGCGGTACTCCCACAGACAAGCCTGGGCCAGAGCAGCATAGCCCCCTGGACAGATTGACCTCCACTGGGGAAAAAAAGAGAAACTGTGTAATAAGCAATAAGAACAATAAAGACACACGGGAAAGAGGGTGGGGCGCCCTGAGCGCCAAAGATTGGGGGAAGGGAATCCTTCCTGGGACTGTAAATAAACAAGCCCGGCAGGCCAGAGAGGCTCTGGCGGAAGCGGGGGCTTGCGCCCAGCAACCAGGAGTGGGAAAGCTTGTAAGAGTGGCAGAGGGAGGAAAACTCCACAGGAGAGGAGGGAAGACCCACTTCCCACGTGAACCATAAACAAACATGGCAGCTGGCAGGAGCAGCAGCACCGCCCAGTAATCAGGAGC